CAGCAGGTTGGGCAGCATTAGAGGAGCAGGACAGTTGACATATAGTGTTTACACCCTTCATCAGGACTCCTTTTGTAAACATCGCTGAACTTGTTGAATATAGAGAGCAGAGATTATCCACTACCTGTGGCATAAACATTAACTTTTGAATGATATATTTAGATATGTGCAGCACTCTCTCTTAAACAGGATGGTCAGCTTTCTAGTTGAATCTTAGCCATACAATATAAATAGGGGTTCTGCATTTGAACAAACCTGAACTTAGTGACATAGAGTCATACAACACACGAACAGACTCTTCGGTCTGACTCATTAATGCTGTCCAGACATCCCAGGCTGATCTAGTCCCATTTGCTAGCATTTGGCCCATATCCCTCTAAACCCTTCCTATTCAAATGCCCAACCAGATGCCTCTTAAATGATGTAATTGTATCCGCCTGCACCACTTCCTCTGGCAGCTTGTTCCGTACACACACTGTCTGATGCACGAAAAATTTACCCCTCTGGCCCTTTTTAAATCTTTCCTTCTCATGTTAAACCTATGACCTCTTGTCTTGGACTCCCCTACCCTAGGAAAAAGGCCTTGGATACTGACCTCATCCATGCCCCTCATGATTTTATAAACCTCCATTAAGTCACCCCTCAGCCTCCGATGCTCCACGGAAAAAAGCCCTAGCCTATTCAGCCTCTCCCTTTAACTCAAATCCTTCATTCCCGGCATCATTCTTGTCAATATTTTCTGAACCCTCTCAAGTTTAGCAATATCCTTCCTATAGAAGGGCAACCAGAATTGTACACTGTATTATAAAAGTGGCCTTACCAATGTCCTGTACAGCTGAAACATGACCTCCCAACTCCAATACTCAATGTTCTGACCAATGAAGACAAATGTGCCAAGCACCCTCTTCAAAATTCTGTCTACCTGGGACTCCATTTTCAAGGAGGTATGTACCTGCACCCGTAGATCTCTTTGTTTGGCAGCACTTCCGAGGGCCCTGCCATTAACTGTGTAACTCCTCCCCTCGTTTACCTTGCCAAAATTCAACACCTCACATTTATTTAAGTTAATCTCCATCTGCCACTCCTTGGCCCTTTGGCCCATCTAATCAAGGTCCCATTGTACTCAGATAATTTCTGATTCTTATGAGGAAAGGTTAAGGGAGCTAGGGCTTTTTTCATGGGAGCGAAGAAGGATGAAAGGTGACTTGATAGAGGTGTACAAGATGATGAGAGTCATAGATAGAGTGGATAGTCAGAGACTTTTTCCCAGGGCGGAAATGGCTATTACGAGGGGGCATAATTTTAAGGTGATTGGAGGTCGGTATAGGGGAGATGTCAGAGGTAGGTTCTTTACACAGAGAATGGTGGGTGTGTGGAATATGCTGCTTGCAGTGGTAGTGGAGTCAGATACTTTAGAGACTTTTAAGCGACTCTTGGATAGGCACATGGAGGATAGTAAAATGTAGGGTGTGCAGGGTAGATCTTAGTAGAATAATAGGTTGGCACAACATCTTGGGCCGAAGGGCCTGTACTTTCTATGTTCAATGTTCTTAATCAAGGTCTTGTTGTACTCTGAGATGGTCTTCTTCACTGTACATTATCTATTTTGGTGTCATCTGCAAACTTAACTGCTAACCATGCCTCCAATATTCACATTCAATTCATTCATATAAATGATGAAAGTCAGTGGACCCAGCACCAGTGCTTGTGGCACACCGCTGGTCACACGCCTCCAGTCCAAAAAGGATCCCCCTTCCACCACCCTCTGTCTCCTACCTTCAAGCAATTTTGTATCCAATTGGCTAGCTTCCCCTAGATCCCACGTGATCTGACCTTACTAATCAATCTACCATGCAGAACCTTGTCAAGCGCTTTGCTGAAGTCCATATAGACAATGTTTACCGCTCTGCCTTCATCAATCTTCTTTGTCACACCTTCAAAAATCTCACTCAAGTTGGTGAGACGTAATTTCCCATGCATAAAACAATGTTGACTATCACTAATCAATCCTTGTCTTTTCAAATGCATGTAAATCCTATCCCTTAGAATATCCTCCAATAACTTACCTACCACTGACAGAAGGTTCACTGGACTATAGCTCCCTGGCTTTGCCTTACAGCCTTTCTTAAATAATGGCACCACATTAGTCACCCTCCAATTGTCAGGCATTTCACTTGTGGCTGCCAGTGTTGAAAATATCTCAGCAAGAGGCCCAGCAATCTCTTCCCCAGCTTCCCACAAAGTTCTGGGAAAGATCTGAATAGGTCTTGGGGATTTATATACCTTTATACATTTTAAGTCCTCGAGCACCTCCTCATCTGTACTATGAACTCTTTTTAAGATAGCACTATCTATTTCCCCAAGTTCCTTACCTTCCATGTCCTTCTCCACTGTAAATACTGACATGAAATATTCATTTAGTATCCCACCCACTGAATGAAATATAAGTAAAAAGAATAAACATGAAAACCATTGTAAAAAGTATACTATCACAAAGACACAAAAGGTATTGTCAACTTAGCATCCTTTGTCCCAACATATCAAAAGGAAACATTAGTAGTGTTTGAAAATGTTGTTGTGATGGAAAGACATTAGGAGAAATGATCCGACTAGGGCCCCAACAACTCGAACACATGTAAAGTGTTATAAATAAGTTTAAAAAAAGCAGAAATTTGCGGACAGTTTGTATGTCCCATTTTAATTGTGTCTACATTGACAGAATGGAGATAAAAATGCATCCCTTGGAATTAATCAAAGCTGTCCATTTTGATTTATTTTCCCTGTTAGAACCAGGGACAAAACGAATTTACAAATGCAAATAACTTCAAGAAAGCCAAACAATTCACTTGATAAATCAGAGGTGTATATCTCACAGGCTTGGAAGAAAAGACAAAATAAAGCATTCAGCAATCTCCCTTTAAAGAGTGTTCGAAGGAAGTATTTTCATTTTGGCAGGGTTTGTGAAGTGAAGTGTCAAGCAGTTTAATCAGAAAAGGCAGTAAGTGGGAAGCAGCAAGCAGGGGATGGGTGGAAAGAGTTAGGGAGTTAGGAATTTTGGCCCAGTTAGCTTCAAGATAATCTAAATTATTCCAATTATAAACATTAGAGGCTGGGAACATAAACCAATCCGATTAAATCTTCTTTTAACAGAAAAGTGATTTTCCTTCAGTTTATTTTCTTTTAGCAACACATTTTTAGGAGTGTCAAATGAGAAGTGATGGCTGTACCACAAGCTCAGGCCTTTTCTGGGATTCCTATGTAAAGCTACAGATTAATATGAAAATATCAACTCAGTCCCTGACTTTGCTGTAACGTAACATTGCTGTAACATTTTTTAATATAACATTTTTGTCCTTTTATCATTGATTATTTTGCCAATTATCTTAAATCTGTGCCCTCTGCTTCTTGTTCCTAACTTTTTTTGTTAGATTGCAGACTCTGTATGTTGCTACTGGGCCAGCATTGATTACCCATTCTCAGCTGGTGATGAGCTGCTTTCTCAAAACCCTGCAATTCTTTGAGTGTAGAAATACACCCGGAGCTGTTAAGAAGGGTGTTCTAGGGTTTTGACTCAACAGTAAAGGAATGGTAATATAGTTCCAAGTCAGAATGGTGTGTGACTTGGAGAAGTTGCAGGTGGTTGTCTTCCTATGCAACTGCTAATGTGCAATTCTAGGTGGCAGAGATCATGAGTTCGGAAGTTGCTGAATGGTGAAGGTAGTGGATGGGGTTCCATTCAAACAGACTGTTTTGTTCTGGATAGTGTTGACATTCTTTGTTTTTTTTGGAACTGAACCCATTCAGGAAAGTAGAGGGTATTCCACCATACTCTTGACTTAGACCTTGTGAATTGTTGATTGACACTGGAGAGTCAGGAGGTGAGGTACTCCGTGCAGAAATCCTAGCCTCTGACCTGCTGTTTGTAACCACAGTATTTATTTAGCTGTTCCACTTTAGGTTCTGATCAGTGGTAACATCCAGGATGTTGATACTTGAAGTGCAGAGATTTAGTGATGGTAATGCCATTGAATATCAAAAGACAATGGTAAAGTTCATTCTTGTTTGTGTTGGGGGTTACTGCTTGGTACTTGTGTGACATGAATGTTATTTGTTACTTATCAGCTCAATCTTGTGCATTATTCAGGTCTTGCTGCATATGGACACAGACTGGTTCAATGTTTGAAGAGTTGTGAATAATGTTGAACGTTGTGCAAACTCTTCACTTCTGGCTGCTTGGTTGTGAGAACACTTGTCCGTATGTGTTTAATGCTGCATTTGTTGGTTGGTGCCCAAGTAGTCCTATGTTGTAGCATCACCAGATGGACACCTTTTTAAGTATACATCGTGCTGCCCTCCTGTCCTCTTCATTGTGCCAGCTTGGTCTCCCACGTTGACGGTAATGGTAGAGTGGAGGAGTATGGCAGGCCATGAGGTTGCAACTTGCTGCTGAGTATAATTCTGCTGCTGCGTATGGGCTGTACTGCGTACAGCACCTTCCAGGTGACCAGATTTAAGTTACTAAATCTGTTTGAAATTCATCACATTTAGCACAATGGTTGTGATACACCACAAGATGACAGGTACCTCATTGTGAAGAGGAGCATCTTTTCCACAAGGACAGTATGCTAGTCATTGTACCTAACAGCTATGTCCTAACACAATCAGCTCAGTTATTAATGATAATACTGGACTCCTATTGATAATGGATATTGAAGTCCTCCACCCTGAATACAGGTCACCTTTGCCATCTTCAGTGATTCTTCCAATTAGTGTTCAGCGTAGAGGAGCACTGATTCATTGGGGTGGGAGCAAGGTGGTAGATGATAAACAGGACGTTTCCTTTCCTTGTTTGGCTAGATGCCATGAGACTTCATGAGGTCGGATCAAAATTGAAGACTCTTAAGACAACTCCTTCTGACTAGATAGTACAGTGCTGTCACCTCTAGTGGGTCTGCCCTGTAGGTGGGATAGGATATCCCAGAGATGGTTATTGTTGTATCATGGACATTGTCTGTAAGGTACGATTTGAGTACGACATATCAGATTTTACATGACTGTGGGTCTGCTATTCCAATTTTGGAGCAAACCTCCAGATTTTGGAAGGAGAATTTTGCACAGCCAAGGGAGTTACCATTGTCTTTTCTCGTGTTTAGGTCAATGCTAGGTGGTCTTACCTGTTTCATTTTCTTTCAGAATGAGAACAGTTTCCCCGCTATCCTTCCAGTGCATTCATGATTTTGAACACCTCTGTGAAATCTTTTTGCAACCTTTCTTCTTCAGAAGAACAGATCTAACTTCTCCAACCTTTTTAGTTAACCAGGGTTCCTCATTCTTGAAACCATTCCTGAGACTCTCTGTTCTGCACCCTCGCTAATGCCTTACCATCAAACCAAGGTTGCAAACATACTGACTTTATGTTAGACTTTCCTGGAAAAGTGATGGCATCAGTGATCTGGAACACTGTTTGGAACAGGAGCCAAAAGTAATAGCTTTAGGTTTCTTTATACTGAATTGGAGAAAATTTCTGCTGATTCAGTTTAGTGCCGGATGCGGAAAAAGTTTTTAACAACAGTGGGGGGATCAAGAGAGGTGATGGCCAGCTGGAGCAGTGTACTCAGCATATTTGTTGTTAATACCAAGTTGGGAGGAGTGAACTGATTCCTTTCCTTGTTCTGTTCCTCCAATGACCAAAACAACGTTTGAATTTAAAAATGTAGGATATATTACCATATATCTGCAAACTATATATACCCAGTATTAGAAACAAATCAGTCACATTCCTTTACCAACAAATAAAGAACCATTTTATTGCAAGCAAAACTTACTCAAGTGAAAGTGCAAAGATGATGAACAAAAGGTTTGAACTGTGCAAATATATACCACTACCCTTATCGAAAACTAACTCCAATATACTTGCACACAACCTCCAAGTATTTAGTATCCTCTGCCTGTGGTGATAAGGCCTTCCTGTAGATTTTCTAATCACAAACATTGATGAAAGAGATTTGAGAGAAAAGAGAAACTGATGGGAAAGGCTCTGGGCAAGCTATCAATCTGTTTTCAAGTCCAATATCTTTCTTTCACATCTCAAACTGGGCCATGTGTCCTCATTTTGCAAGCAGACTTTGTACCTTCATCTAAGTAGCTTGATCATTGCAAGTGTAAGATTGTTGCTGCTATAGCCAGTGTCTTTTGTTTTGCAAAATGTTCTTTGAAAAGAGTTCAAGATATGTACACATGTCCAATCAATGTCAATAATATTGTATATTAATATTTGGTGAATGCATCTTTATATAAATGTGAAATAATGCTATCTCTTTGGTAGAACAGGCCTTACTAGATGTATTATCTATGCTGTAACTAATTGATATTCTTCCTATGTTCCTAGCCACTTTAGTTATTATTTCAATCATTCATGATGGCTGATAAGTATTACTGTCATATATTTCTTAAGAGAAGTGCTTTACCTCTCAGAAGATAATCTTTACATTTCTCTCAATACTAAAAAGTTACCCTACTTGTATGAAAGTATATTACACCATGATACAAAGACATTTGACACTTAATCCCTGAATTGTTCATGATATCAAACACACTGCTGCTATAAAGTAACCTTTTTACATATCAAGAAATAGGAATGCAGGATTTTCCCCAAATTTTAAAAGTAGTCTTACCAACTGTGTTGTTCCACAGGTTTCATTGCAAGATTTTCCACGTTGTCTCATCCAGTCAATAGTCTCTCATCCCTTCTCCAATAGTTTTTTTGGACAAATAAACAAAGATTTTTATTTCTTTTTTAAATTAATGCCCCATTATTTTTTCTCATTGGTTCCCAATAATGACAAGGGAAATGTCTTTCCTTCATTGAGATACTATGACTAACCTGGGTGAGAGTTGGCAGCCTACTTGGAAGAAAATAATTATTGAGTTACCTTTGCATTAAATCATCTTCATTTTTGTTTCACAGGAGTTTCCAAAGCCAATTTGTTTTAACAAAGAAACTGAGGCATTTGAAATTGTAGATAATGCCAAGCGAAATCTGATAAAACAGTTGAGAAATTTGGAACGTTCTTTAACTCCAATGAACCCTGTTTACAATGTGACAGTCAAATCTAAAATGAATTATCCTCCACGAAACCTCACTGCTGCGGATTTGAACTTTGAAACCACCTTCACTACACAGGTAGGCAGATGATTCATAATGTCATTATGTCTTTGGTTACATCTCTCAGTAGTGTATTTCTTATAGTCATTAATTCACACCTGTTATAAAGTGATTTTTCTAAGTATCCAGAAATAGCCCAAATTTTAGAAGTAGTCTTACCAGCTCTATTGTTCCAGAAGTTTCATTGCATGATCTTCCAACTATAACTATTCCAACAGCTGCCCGGCACTTTTTGGAGCATTCTTGATATTCCCATTCCTCTGTTCTGACCACATAACCCTGCAAGTTTATTTTCAAGTGCCCATCCAATCTCCTTTTAAAACATTGATTGCCTCTGCTTCCATCACTTTGGCGATCATCGATTTTCAGCTATTGTGAGTTCGTGGTTTGCATTAATGTTTCAAAGATGATCTTTAGTTATGGAAAGATTATTTTGTATAGTTAAGGTTATTAAAATATGCTTTTCAGTTGGACCTTGTGTGGTTTGTCGGTCACAGAGGAAAGTTAGCCAAGATTATGGAGAGTTAGACAGGACTGCACAGGAAGCTAAGGAAGCTTTGTCGTCATTGACCATGTTCATTGAAGATGGGGCTTAGTCTCATTTTGAATTGTGAATTATGATAGGTGTAAGACAGAGAACACAATTGAGAATGAACAGGAGTACTGAAGATTTCAGGGGGGAACGGGAGCAGTGAAAAAGAAAATAAGAGAATGGAAGAGGAACTATGAGAAAAGACCAGCAACAAATATAAGCAAAAATCCCAAAGTCTTCTCAAAGCATATAAACAGTAAGAGAGTAGTTAAAGGAGGATTAGGGCAGATCAGAGACCTAAAGGTGGATTTACACACGGAGGCAGGGGACATAGCTGAGGTGTTAAATGAATATTTTGCATCTGTCTTTATAAAGGAGGAGGATGCTGCCCAGGCAGTAGTGACAGAGGAATAAACTTTATTACTAGAAGAGTTAAAAATTAATAAAGAAGACGCCTTGGATAGGTTGATGATATTTAAAGGTGACAAGGCACAGGGACCAGATGAGGTGCATGCAAGAATGTTGAAGGAAGTGAGGTTAGAAATTGTGTGGGCAGGTCTATAATTTACCAGTGTGTTCAGATTGCAAATAAGAGTGTAGTTAGTCTTCTCCAGACTCAGGGGGAGGTGTCAGAAGATTGGAGAATTGCAAACATTATGGCCTTGTTCAAGAAAAGCTATAAAAATAATCCCAGGAATTATAGGCCAGTCAGTTTAACTTCGGTGGTAGGGAAACTTCTAGAAACAAATATTTGTGATAGAATAAGTTATCACCTGGAGAGATGTGTGTTGATTAGGAAGAATCAGCATGGATTTCTAAAGCGGAAGTCGTGATTTAACTAACTTGCTGAAGTTTTTTGAAGAGATAACACAATGAGGGTAACGTTGAATCAGAGAGAGTAGGAACTTGTTGCTGTGATATACCTGGATTTCTAGAAAGCATTTGATACCGTGCCACACAACAGACATGTGAGGAAAGTTATAGATCATGGTATAAAGGGACAGTTGCAGTGTGGATACGAAAGTAGCCGCATGATAGGAAATAGAGAATTATGGCCAATGGATATTTTTCAGCTGGAGGAAGGTTTGTAACGGAGTCCCCCAGTGGTTGGTATTGGGATCCTTGCTTTTCTTGATATGTATTAGCGATCTGCATCTTGATGTGCAGGGACAATTTCAAAGTTTGCAGATTACAATGAACTTGGAAAAAATATAAACTGTGGAACTCCAAAAGGACATTGACAAGTTGGTGGAGTGGGTGAATAAGTGGCGTATGAGGTTCAATGCAGAGCAGTGTGAAATGATGCACTTTAGTCACAAGAATATTGAAAAATAATATAAAGTAGGGACATAATTCTAAGGAGGATGCAGGAGCAAAGGGACCTGGTGTATGTATGCATAGAACATTGACAGGTGAGGAGAGCAGTTAACAAAGCATGCAGTGATCTCAGCTTTGCTAATAGGGACGTGGAGTACAAGAGCAAGGAGGTGAAGTTGAATTTATAGAAACGCTTGTTAGACCTCACCTGGAGTATTGCGTACAGTTGTGGGCACCACATTATAGGAAGGATGTGAATGCTTTGGAGAGAATGCAGAAGTGGTTTGCTAGAATGGTTCCAGGAAGCAGAAATTTTACTAATGAGGAAAGATTGAAGAAGTTGGAACTGTTCTCCTCAGAGAGAAGAAGGCTTAGAGCAAATTTGATAGAGGTTTTCGAAATTGTTAGTGGGCTGGATAGAGTAGGTAGGGAGAAGCTGCTTCCACTTGTAAAAGAAAGAAAGAATGAGAGGGCTTAATGATTTAAAGTGATGTCCAAATGAAGTGAGGGTGATATGAGAATAAACATTTTCATACAGTGAGTAGGTAGGGTATAGAAAGCACTGCTTGGAAATGTGGTGGAAGCAGGTTCAATTGAGGCATTCCAGAGGGAATTGGATGATTACCTGGATAGAAATAATGTGCATCGTCATGGCGAAAAGGCAAGAGATTGACACTAGGTAATAGAACCGGAGCAAGCACAATGGGGCGAAGATCCTTCTTCTGCGCCATTACGATTCTGTGATTCTGTGAATTTTGAGGAATAGAGCTGGCAGGTTGCTTAAATAAAAGTAAAATACTGCAGATGTTGAAATTCCAAAGAAACACAGAAAACGCTGGAGAAACTCAACTGATTTGGCAGCATCTGTGGAGAGAGAAACTTAGTTAACATTTCAAGTCTGCTATGACTCTTCTTCAGAACTGAGGACGAGATCTATAGAAGTCATATTGGACTCGAAACATTAACTCTGTTTCTCTCTCCTCAGATTCTGCCACACCTGTGGAGCTTCCTCAGCATTTTCTGTGTTTACTGTGGAAGATAGCTTAGATTGACACCAGTGGACAAATCTACAGTGGGTCTCAATGTTGGACTGCTAAAGAAAGTAATGAGATGATTACCTGGAAAGTATTGAAAAATAACCAGAACAAGGGATTGAGCATCTATGGTCAGGAGTTGGTAAATGAAAGTTTTACTTTTGAGAGTAGCTGGAAATGAGGCAAATTCTCCAGAGGACTGTGTTAAACTTATGGATATTCCTTACAGAAGTCATTAACTTTAAGATTGATGTGTCTTAGAGAATTCTTGAGTGATCTAGGAAGGAAACTTGAATATATAGCATATAGTTATAAACCATATTGGTAAGATAATAGTATTCATAAGAACCTGTTTTAAAAAGAGCACCGGACGTGGTAATTCCGCCCTTCAAGCCTGCTCTGCCATTCAGTGAAAACTGTACTATCCTCTATCCCTGAATGTTTTTAATATGTAGATATCTATCAACCTCTGTCTTGAATACAGTCAATGACTGATCCTCCAGCTATATTCTGGAGCAGTGAATTTCAAAAATTCCATAACTTCTGAGTGGAGAAAGTCTGTTTCATCTCTGTCCTGAGCAACTTGTCCCTGATTCTGACTGTGCATTCTCTGGTTCTAGACATCTTAGCCAGTAGAAGAATCCTTCCTTCATGTACTCTCTCAATCATGCAAGAGTCTCTTATGTTTCAATAAGATTACCTTTCATTCTTCTAAACTCCAGAAAATATAGGCTCAGTCTATTTAATCTTTTCTTATAGAACACTCACTACATCCCAAAAATTAGTTTGGTGGACCTTCTTTGCTCTCTTTCTACGGCAAGTATAGGGAGATCAACAGTGCCTAACCCTAACCCTAACCCTAACTCCAGTTGTGGCCTCACCAAGAATCTATTTAATTGCAGTAAGGCATCTTGACTCCTTTATTCAAAACTTCTTGTAATAAATGCCAACATATAATTTGCCCTCTTAACTGCTTGTTATATCTGAATATTAACTTTCAGTGATGAATGAATAAGGCATCAAAGTCCAATTGAAGTTTAATACTTCCCAAGCTCTCTCTATTTTAGAAATACGCTGTCTCTCTCTTTTTCTACCAACGAGTGAAAAATGTCATCTTTCTCTACATTGTATTCTACCTGACAGATTTTTGCCCACTCACTTTGCCTGTCAAAATCCCCACAACGTGTCTTAGCATCCTGCTTAAAACTCCCACTCCCACCTCGTTTTCTGTCATCTGCAAACTTTGAAAGATTGTGTTTAATACACGCATCCAAATTGTTAACATAGATTGTGAACAGCTGGGGCTCAAGTACTGATCCTTTTGGTACCCCGGTAGTCACAACCTGCCGACCTGAAAATGACCTAAAATATTCTAACTTTGTTTTCTACCTGGCGTAATCAATTCTCAGTCCATACAATATATTCCTGTTAATTCCATGAGTGCTAACTTTGTTTACTAACCTCTTATTTGGGATCTTATTCAAAACCTTCTGATAATCTAAATGTACCACATCTACCTGTTCTCCCTTATATGTTCCAATATTTACATCCTCAAAATGAACTCCAACAATATGTCAAACAGGTTTTTCTTTCAAAAATTCATGTTGGCTCTGCCCAGTCCCACAATTAGTGGTTAGTGGTTAGTGGTTCAGCTTAGTGGTTAGCACTGCAGCCTCACAGCACCAGGGAACCAGGTTCGATTCCAGCCTTGGGCGACTGTCTGTGCGGAGTTTGCACATTCTCCACGTGTCTGCATGGGTTTCCTCCAGGCGCTCCGGTTTCCTCCCACAGTCCAAAGATGTGCAGGCTAGGTGAATTGGCCATGCTAAGTTGCCTGTAGTGTTCAGGGGTGTATGGGTTCTGGGTAGGATGCTCCAAGGGTTGGTGTGAACTTGTTGGGCCGAAGGGCCTGTTTCCACACTGTAGGGATTCTATGAATTATTTTCTCTGTGTCTAGCGTTTGAGATATAAAACTGAACTAGAAAGGCAGAACTATTTTCACAGGAGCATAGAATGTTGAGAGGTGATCGTACTGATGTTTATAAAATCACGAGGGGCATATGTAAGGTGAATGAGAAGGGCTTTTTCCCTTGGGTGAGGAGGTTTTAAACCAGGGGCATAGATAAGAGAAAGAT